GTTTGGCTACTTGTAGGTTATTGCGAGGCCTCCCCATGAGTATGCTTCTCCCGTCGTCCCCCGCAGAGACCTACAGGCGATATTGGATAATTTTGAGAGTCACCTGGTACTATAGGAATATCTTCGGGAGCGAGCTCCTATAGAGTGGGCTTATGCTAAGGGTTATATGACATGGTTCTATAGGGTGTTACACCCTATTATGACACCAAACGCTCTTGGAGAACCACCTAGGTCAGCTAATTAGGAGGTAATTGAGGTTCAAGATGAGCAGGTAGAAAGAGTGACAGTGGTATGTCGGTGTGTTGCGAAGATGAGTAAAACAACCATATAGTCAGGACTCTTTGTGAATGACAACCCTCAGTTATCCCTAGTGGAACACATGGTTTCTGAGTTACGGAATACCGTGTAGTACAGGCGACGGATGAGGCAAGAGGTTAGACATACCTAGTTGTTTATATTGGGATGTATTATTTGGGTACTTTTGATGTATTTTTCGGACAAATGTTATGTATGTATTATCTTGACTTTTATTTATTTATTTATGTATGAATTTTCACCCTCCTTTAACTTTAATATAACTGAATTTTACTTTGATTTTACGTTAACATAAGCTAGCCTCACAAAAATTGAATTTTTGGACAATGATGTTGTTTTAATATGATTTTTTTCCAGGGAGGATTCAAAGATACATCTCTGAAATAAATTCCCCTTTGTATTTACCATGTTTTCAAATATTTCAGGGGACATTTCATAGACGCATCCCCGATTACACCAAATACTCATATGGAGATGCATCTTTGGACCATAATTTTATCAAAAATATGGTGGATCTCAGAATAGTGCATTTTAGTTATGATTTGGATGCGTTCGGAGATGCATCTCTGAATGTCTGAAGAGCAGTTTCAAATTTTTAAAGGTGTGATATGCATATGTAAAGGTGAAAAGAGTATTCCCTTCATAAAATTAATCTTAAAAGGGCTAAAAATGGAGTTTGTGTATGTGTGTGTGTGTGCGCGCGCGCGTGCGTGTGTGTGTGCGTGTGTGTGTGTGTGAGTTTCCCACTAAAGATGTTTGAAAATTAGTCTTATTAAAAGAAAAGTAACAAATGAGCCATTCAAAGTCTCTCTTGACAATATGGTAACAAATGATGTTTGCTTATGCCCATACGATGGTCACCACCAGACACGTCAGTTGGACGTCATTTCCTTATACTCTAGTTGGATGGGATGTGAGTCACATCTTATGTATCCTTATTTGTCCGAGTGAGTGATGCGACAATTTGGCTACTTGTAGGTTATTGCGAGGCCTCCCCATGAGTATGCTCCTCCCACCGTCCCCCGCAGAGACCTACAGACGATACTGGATAATTTTGAGAGTCACCTGGTACTATAGGAGTATCTTCGGGAGCGAGCACGTATAGAGTGGGCTTATGCTAAGGGTTACATGACATGGTTCTATAGGGTGTTACACCCTATTATGACACCAAACGCTCTTGGAGAACCACCTAAGTCAGCTAACTAGGAGGTATTTGAGGTTCAAGATGAGCAGGTAGAAAGAGTGACAGTGGTATGTCGGTGTGTTGCGAAGATGAGTAAAACAACCATATAGTCAGGACTCTTTGTGAATGACAACCCTCAGTTATCCCTAATGGAACACATGGTTTCTGAGTTACGGAATACCATGTAGTACAGGCGGCGGATGAGGCAAGAGGTTAGACATACCTAGTAGTTTATATTGGGATGTATTATTTGGGTACTTTCTATGTATTTTTCGAACAAATGTTATGTATGTATTATCTTGACTTTTATCTATTTATTTATGTATGAAATTTCACCCTCCTTTAACTTTAATATAACTGAATTTTACTTTGATTTTACGTTAATATAAGCTAGCCTCACAAAAATTGAATTTTTGGACAATGATGTTGTTTTAATATGATTTTTTTTTCTAGGGAGGATTCTGGAGATACATCTCTGAAATAAATTCCCCTTTGTATTTACCATGTTTTCAAATATTTCAGGGGACATTTCAGAGACGCATCCCCGAATACACCAAATACTTGTATGGAGATGCACCTTTGGACCATAATTTTATCAAAAAATATGGTGGATCTCAGAATAGCGCATTTTAGTTATGATTTGGATGCGTTCGAAGATGCATCTCCGAACGTCTGAAGAGCAGTTTCAAATTTTTAAACGTGTGATATACACATGTAAAGGTGAAAAGAGTATTCCCTTCATAAAATTAATCTTAAAAGGGCTAAAAATGGTGTGTGTGTGTGTGTGTGTGTGTGTGTGTGTGTGTGTGTGTGTGTGTGTGTGTGTGTGTATGTGTGTGTGTGTGTGTGTGTGTGTGTGTCTGCGTGTGCGTGTGTGTGTGTGTGTGAATTTCCCACTAAAGATGTTTGAAAATTAGTCTTATTAAAAGAAAAGTGAGAAAGGTGAATGAAGAAGAAAAAATTGTCTACAAATAGAAAAGATTTATCGTTATATTTAATCATTTTTTCGTGAAGGACCACAAATAACTAACAAATTTTGACAAACTTAGGATAAGATGGTAAACAAGTTTGAAATATTTTAAACCCTATACAAAATTACATATTTGTATTCACATTGTTCTATTTTCAAATTACCAATAGAATTATATATTTTATTTTATATTATTATTATTATTATTATTAATTTTTAAAATAATTAGATATCTATTATAAATATAAAATATTATAAACATTTACATAAAAAAGAAGAAGTGAATTGCTCATACTTTTTATATGTGCTATTGATGACAGACAGTTGCAAGAAGAAGATTGAAGATTCCAAACGTGACCTGAGCAAGGAATTTGAAATGTATGACCTGAGCAACATCTCATACTTTCTTGATATTGAATTTTACATGAGTATTAGATGTTTGATAATGCACCAAAGAAGATATGCAAATGAGATACTCAAAATATTTGAGATGGAGGATCGCAATACAACTTCAACACCAGCTGAACCAAAACTGCAATTAATGAATGACTCAAATGAAGATGATGTTAATCCAATACAATACAGAAGACTCATTGGATCATTTGAGATATCTCTATCATATGAGATCTGATCTAGCATATAATGTAGGCATGATGAGTAGGTTCATACAAAAGCCAAAGGTATCTCATCTTACAGCCACCAAGAGGATACAAAGATACCTCAAAGGAACACTAGATTATGGCATTTTGTTTCATGTAGCAGATGAAGAAAAGGAATGCAAACTTGTGTGATACACTAACTCAAGTTGGTGTGGTGATGCCGATGATAGAAAATTCACAGATGATTACGTGTTTATGCCAACTAGTACACCAGTTGCTTGGAGCTTAAGAAAAAAACTACCTAAAGCTATGTCATTATGTGAGGCTGTGTACATAGCCGTCTCTCTTTGTGCATGTCAAGCAACATGGATGTTGAATCTGATTGATGAGATCGCAGGTAAGAATTATAGAGCAATGGTCTTTAAGGATGATAACATGTCTGCCATCAATTTGCCCAAGAACCCGATAGCACATAGAAAAAGCAAACACATTGAAATGAGATTCTATTATCTTATAGAGCAAGTAACACATGAAAACTGAACTTAGAACACTGCGTAACTAAGAATCAAATTGCAGAGATCATGATCAAGGCAATGGAGGTGAAATTGGTCGAGATTGAGAACCATGATAAATGTAAATATCTTAGACACAATAAATTAAGTGGTGTATTAAATATGTAATTCTTTAAGTTAAACATGTTTGTAGATGCATAATTTGTCAGTCAAAGCTGCATGTATTCAACAGAGTCAAATACAATTTGTAGTAGTGAAGTTGTATGTATTTGACAGAGTCAAATACAACTTGTCGAAGTTAGTTAGTTTGAGATTGGTTGACGTGCAAGTAATCTCATTATAAATAGGAAGACACTTTGTGTTTGAAATAATATCAAGTTCAATACATTTTTCCTTTCTCTAAAAAAACCCAATACTCTCATTACTATCTTATCTCATAATTTCAAATTATTTTTCATTTTAAATATTGTGCGGGGGAATCATCTTACAATCAAGAATGTGGTTGAATCACTCGAATAAAGATTGTAGATTAGAAATTTTAGATGAATCAAGTGAGGATTGAATATTGTTTTCTCAAGATTCATTCCAACCAAATATAATATGAAAGCGTCCTAATAAATAAATGGAAAACAATAATTAAAAAGATGAAATCTCAAATTAAAATGAAGTAACTTACTTTCGTAGAATGAATTTTGTGTATACATCTTTGTTAGTCAAAATAAGAACTTTATATTTTATTTAAGAAAGAAAAACATATATTTATTTTTAGGAAAGAAAGAAAAACATATTTAGAATACCATATATATTTACAAATTTAAAGAAAAAAATAAAAAACCATTTAAAATGTAGAATAAAGTCAAAACTCATTCAAAATAGTAACAATCATATTTTAAAAATAACTATAATTCAATAAAAAAATAACGGTCATAAAACCATAAAGGAGAATAGTAAAGATATTTCCATAAACCTATATCTAATTTGTCTAATTCAATTAATAATTAATATTAATTGTAATAAACTATTCTGTTATATCTTTTACAAAAACAGGAAATGAATCAAATATAGTTCATTTCAAATTTCCAATAAATACAGAATAAAAAGACGAAAATATAATAAAGCCAAATGCTTATTAGAAATATAAAAATAAAAGTGGAGAATTCTATTGCAAACCCAGAAAAGTTGATTCTGTGGGCTTTCGGTAGAGTTGGAAATTTTAATAGTATGATCACTATTAAGATTTATTTTTTAAATAAATCATTTTTCATTTCTCTGTTTAAATTTGAATTCAATAATCGTATAATCAAATACAATTTTCCATTTCGTTACCCACCCAGCGTAATCATAATTATCATTGTTATCATCTATTTAAAAATATCAATCTTATCACCTCATGTATTGAATAATTCGAAGAAGTAGATATCATGAACATGAACGTTGCTACCAATTTCAACAACGCTTCTTCTTCTTCCTCCTACGTCTCTTCTCAATGTAACCGTTTCACCTCATTCAACCATAGGCGTAGAGCTTCTTTTTCTTCTCATAAATTTGTTATAGGTCTCAGTAATGGTCCACACTTACTTCCACTTAGAAATTCCCGCTTCGAAACCCTTCGTTTCTCTAAACCCTCGCTAAAACCTTGTTTCGCTTCTTCTCATCATTCTCACCTCAATCAACAACAATCTCTTCTCGATGATGAATCTCATCGCGATTCCGACACCGACGCCGACTCTGAAACCACACCGTAAGTCTCTGTTTTCATTTCAATCTTTCAATTTTTGTTCCACCGTTTCTCATTTTTTTTGTTCAAATTGTGACAGTGAATTACCGGTTAATCAAATTCAAAATCAGAATCAAAATGGAGAAGGTTTCTCGATTTCGGATGTGAAACGTGAGATTATATCGCTTTCTTTGCCTGCACTTGCTGGACAAGCTATTGATCCAATGACACAGTTGATGGAAACTGCGTACATTGGTCGACTCGGTTAGTAATTAGTACTACAATACAACTTCTTTGAATTCGTCTTTGTTATTCACATTTTAACTGATTATTTTTTTCTTACTTGATTTGTTTATGTTTATAGGGACTGTTGAATTGGCTTCTGCTGGTGTTTCTGTTTCCATCTTTAACATCATTTCAAAGCTATTTAATATTCCGCTTCTTAGTGTTGCTACTTCTTTTGTTGCTGAAGATATGGCAAATGCTGCTAAAAATTCTGATTGTGATACAGGTTAATTCATCACCTCTTACCGTTTTAATTGTTTTATTATTGCATTGTTGTGAAATGGATGCGCAATTTGAATAAATAGTTATTGTTAAATGATACTTTAGTTAGTACAAAGTGTTGTCGGCGGTTATGTTAGTGTTATTATGCTATAGCATAGCGGATTTTTGAACAAACCACTACTTTTTTTGCGATATGCCATTTACAAATATTGTACTACTATTAATACTACATTTGGATCATTTTCTAATAATGACTTTGATTTTCCTTGCAGATCAGGGTGGTAGTACAAAAATTAGTGATTACGGTAACCCTTTCACAGCAGTTTATGAAAGAAAGCAACTCTCCTCTGTTTCCACTGCTTTGCTATTAGCTATGGGGATTGGCATTTTTGAGGCTTTGGCTATGTATTTTGGATCTCAAACATTTCTTCGTTTGATTGGTGTATCAGCGGTATGTTTTCACATCAACCCGGTCTTTGCTAATCGTTTCGTGTCTATTTGTAGTACTTTGAAGGCATAATTCTCTGTGTGAATTAGAAGACTATAGTATATAACATGGATTGTAATCTACTCTTTGAATAATTCTACTTTTTATCAGGGAAATCCAACACTTGTTCCGGCGCAAAAGTTTCTCTCGTTAAGAGCATTTGGTGCTCCTGCAGTTGTGCTTTCTTTGGCTCTTCAAGGAATTTTTCGTGGTTTTAAGGATACCAAAACTCCTGTTATATGTCTAGGCAAGTGTTTGGTTTAATGTGTTTATTTTCTGTTGATAATTTTGTGTTTTTGAACATCTTTTCTGTTTTTTGGGGGTCTATCTTCTGCATATGCTCTAATACTTTGCCATTATATGCTTCAAACTATTCAACATTTTCTTATCCTTTTGAAAGCTCTTTCTATACTCACCATTCATGTATAGGCTGTAATTGCTGTAGTAGTAGTTTTCGTTATTATTATTATTATTTAACGAGATTACAAAAATCTATACAAATAAATACTATAGTACCGATCACTACATCATTTCCTTGTTTTGGTAATAATCTGCTTTAAAACTTTGATTCTTGACTCATTGCTTGCCTTTTGATTGCTTTCTTATAATCATGATTCCTGAAACAGTAAATAATTCCGATTTTCTACCAAGCTCGCTTAAAACATGTGAAAATTTCATTGTCCATAATTTTGCCCTCCATGCCTAATGTTTCATATTGCAAGCATGTAGTAGTAAGTTAGGAGTTCTAGCACAAAAGTCTTTTTGCCTAAGAGCTTAATTGTATGTGTTTGAGAAAGCTTCTGTCTGTAAATTGTTTGCACACGATAGGAAACTTGATACGTAAAGACGGGAAATAAAGGCTACATTGTTAATCATATTGGAATATGTTTATACTGATCACTGAATTTCTTTAGAAAATAAATGCATTACGTTTGCTATAAGATGTAAATGGAAAGTTACATGTACAGCCTTTCAGATAGGAAATGTTCTTGTTATTATTGTATATTTTGTTTTCTCATCCAACATTTAGCATGGCCGAATGCATTTCATAAGGATAAATTTATCCAGGGTATGTTCTCTGAAGAGTGAACAAGGTATATTAATGATGTTTAAATTTGTCGGAATTTATATTTAAAATTGGAGAACATTTTTTTTTTGATAACTCAAGGGTGCTTGTTTTTTAATGTGATTCAATGATTGGTAAAAATTTAAAATTATAATGATTTTCAGATATTGTATGCATGTGCCTTCCTAATACATTTATGAAATTGCAGGCATTGGTAATCTTTCAGCGGTCTTTTTATTTCCCTTACTCATGTATCACTTTAAGTTGGGTGTAGCCGGTGCAGCCATTTCCACTGTTCTCTCTCAGTATGACCTTTTCAGTTGCATTCTTTTCTTTCTCTATTTCTTGACTTAATTTTACTCTAACTATGATGGAACTTTCATGCCTCAGATATATTGGGACCTTGTTGATGATCTGGTGTCTAAATAAGAGAGCTGTGTTACTACCTCCAAAAATGGGAAACTTGCAATTTGGCGGTTATATTAAGTCTGGTAAGGAGTTATCCTTCTCTTGGTTGTTTCTGTTTATATGTGACGTGTTGCTAAAACCTGAGTTTAAAGTGTGCTTTTGGTGTTTACTTTTATGTGTTATTTTGGGGTTTCTGTTTACTTGTTATGTGTTGCTTAGACCTGAGTTCAAAGAGTGCATTTGGCTCTCCTCCTAAACTGAGAGAACATAGAATCAGAGATATAGTACATAGAATCCAATTATTGTATTGTGCAGATTTGATAAGTTACAAAGAAACAGTGCACAAGACACGGTTCCTCCTACCAAGTTTCGAGACCTTGGTTCTCTCCCCTTCCTGAATGTTCGAGAGTTGGGTCTCTCCCATTAACCACTCAATAATTCCCAGATAAACTCCCAATGTCTCCCTTTTATAATTACACACCACCTAGAATTGAATAGACATGAATAATTGCATAATTAATTACTACTGCCCACAGCAGTAACACCCCTTAACTAGCAACCACTATCCCATAAAGTATATGTAGCAGTAATTTTCCCTTTATTGATATAATCATTTTTGTCCTTTCATGGAGAAAGAAGATCTTTAGATTATGTGGTAAGGAGGGTAGATCAGATGGAGAGGGGTCAAATAGTTAGAGGTAGAGAAAGACGTAGGAAAACTACAAGAGAATTTTTTAAGAAAGATCTCGAGTTTAACAATTTAGATAAAAGCATGGTTCTGGATAGAACATTATGGCGGAAGTTGATCCATGTAACCGACCCCACTTAGTGGGATAAGGCTTGGTTGTGTTGTTGTTACATTTTGAATAAGAAGTCTAACATATTGTTTCGTGTCCTACATTATCTTTCCCTTTGATACTCCCTCCTTCTCATATTTTAAGTCACGTAGGCGTTTTTAGACAAATTAAGAAATGTAGTTAATGTTATATGAAGAAGAGAAATGATAAGTTATTTACAAAAAAATTATCATTCATTAATGGTGTGAGAGAGATAAATTAAAGGAATTGACAAAAAATAATAATAGTAAATAGTAAAGGGTATAATAGGAAAGGAAACATTGATGCTTCATTCATATTCTAAAATGATTTATAATTTGGGTCATAATTTTTTCCCAAAGTTTAGTACCCTTGCAAAGTGACTTATAATTTGGATGGATGGAATAGTAAACAAATTTTTTACATGAACATTTCGCATTTTCACTTTAGTGTGTACATTATATAGCTTTCTGTCAGGTTAATGTAGTTGTTTGAGTTATGGTCTGTGGGCTGCCATAGGTGGTTTCGTAATTGGAAGAACACTTGCTGTTCTTACAACCTTGACATTGGGGACATCAATGGCTGCTCGTCATGGCCCAGTAGCTATGGCTGCACATCAAATATTCATGCAAGTGTGGTTAGCCGTTTCACTTCTTACAGATGCATTGGCTGTATCTGGTCAGGTATTAAATCATCCTTTATCCAAAAACATGTTATTTATTTTTTTACTTTTCTTTCGTTTTAATCCCCCCTGCCCCGTGATGTTTTTTTTCCTTTCTTAAACTGGTAATAGTTATAAGGTGTCTTACAATAAAGCAAGTTAAGCCAACAAAAGGCTGACTATAGTGGCATACAAAAAAGTTCTGTCATTTAATGTTTGCCAAAATTTCAGTCTGTTTGAGTCACATTTTAAAAATTTAACTTCCGAGTTTCTTAAAAGCTTAGCAATTACTTTCTTCACTACTATCTTCTTGTTTGCATATGCCTTTATTTCCTTATACTTCTACGTTACTATTGACAGGCCCTAATTGCAAGTTCTATATCAAGACATGAATACAAAGCTGTGAAGGAAATTACTCATTTTGTATTAAAGGTAAGCATTTTCCTTTTTGTGCATTTTGTATTTAAAGGTAAGTGCTTTCATTATTTATCCATACAATTTAGGAAATCTATGGCTGTTTTAACTATGTTAAGTAAAAAGTTTTGTGAATTTGTTTGTGAACCTGATGATGTCTATTTCCAGATTGGACTGCTGACAGGCATCTGCCTGACTGCAATTCTGGGTGCATCTTTTGGATCTTTAGCTACCCTTTTCACCCAGGACTTAGAAGTTTTGCAAGTTGTCAGAACTGGAGTGTTGGTATGTATGGTCTTTTTTTTTTGTCAGCACTTCTCTATGTTTGCCTCAGATATTGGTTTACACTGTTATAACTTATGTGTGATTGTTGCCAGTTTGTCAGTGCTTCTCAACCTTTTAATGCACTGGCTTATATTTTTGATGGTCTCCATTATGGTGTTTCTGATTTCCCATATGCTGCTTTCTCCATGGTAAGTTTTTTTTGTTGAAATTGTTACAATGTTCCTGTCGTGGTAATATGTTTTACAAGGTTAATTTATATGATAATTTCTTCATAGATGATTGTGGGAGCATTCTCCTCAGCATTTTTGCTATTTGCCTCTCCACGTTTTGGCCTTCGCGGTGTATGGATGGGCTTGACTCTCTTCATGGCACTTCGAGCAGCAGCTGGTTCTGTCAGGTAAATTGACAAATTAATGCTGCATCCATGCACATGAGCATTACGAATAAATGTTTCATTTTGTTTCTTTTCCTGTCTAAATACGCAACGTATCCATTTATGGTGGCTACTTTAACGCTCAGCCATTTGTCCATCTTATACTGGAACAATTATTTTATGCATGTTGGGCGCATGACAACTCAACTCCGTTAATCGTATTTAAATGATAAAAGTATGAATGATATGCATACTATACTAGAGTAGTTTCATTTGAAATTGTACTAGCACCTTGATTTTAATCCTATTTTGTTAGATGGTTTGTTTGAAATTATTAGTCCATAATTAATACCGGTTAGATTGATTGTCAAATCTTGAAGCAAAATTGTAAAGAAGAGGAGTGCTAGCAACACTCTCTTTTCAACACTCTCTCAAATACTCGCTTTTTTATTGGTTGAAACATGTGTGGGTCCCTCACTTTGTAAATAGGTCCCACATAAAGTGGTAGGACTCACATATTTCAACCAATGAGAGAGAGTGTTTGAGAGAGGGTTGAAAAGAGTGTTATTAGCATTTCTCTTGTAGAGAAGAGGAGTGCTAGCATGTCCTTTATTGCATCTTCTAGTTGTACCGTTTTTGTTGTTGAACGAATCATGCTTTTGCATTTTCAGATTACTATCAAAGAATGGACCGTGGTGGTTTCTACACAAGGATTTTCAGATTACAAAGGTCTGTGTGTATTTGTTTAATTTCAAACATATCTAGGCTTTATGGATAACTAAAATAAAGTAAACATCCTTCTTGGCATTTAATTCTCTATGTTAGTTATGCTCTTCATAGTCTGCAGTCCATATATTACTAATATCTAGCATAGGTTTGGCACCTAATCTTGTAATTCTATGTTTGCAGACGGTCTCTTAATTCTTAAGACAGGGAATATGGATGAAACCGTGGACCTGACATCTTACTCTGCACAGGATACTGTAATTTAGAGGTTAAATTGGAATTTTGGTTTTTCTGTGGTGCTTATTGTAAGAAATAATCTTTAGAAGCACTTCTGTAATCAATCAGTTACCAATCTTATCCATAGTACATCAAATGCGGTGTAGAACAGCAAGTATTTTTAGAAGCACTTCTGTAACCAATCTGTTACCAATCTTATCCACAGTACATCAGATGCAGTGTAGAACAGCCAAGTATCGTAGAGATAAGCAGACCATCTGGTTATGTAATCCTAGTAGACATCACTATTACTTTTCTGGTTATGTAATCCTAGTAGACATCACTATTACTTTTGAGAAATTACGGGCGACTCATACTGAAAATGAAGATGAAATCAATTTTGTGCATGCACAGAAAATTTATGTGTGTTAGAGAGAGAGCTCAAGTGATTTATGTAAATTTCCTGAATATATTCTACCTGCATTTTTTCTGGCCTCTAAGTAGTAGCCTTAACATGAATATTTACACTTATTAATTATACTATTAATGATGTATTGGAATTATTTTTCCCTGATTTGATTTTTACTTATAATATGCTATTGAGTTCAAGCTTTGGTATATAACCTAACTTTTTAGTCTTGGCTATGATTTGTGATTTTGTGAATTAAGTATGTCAATTAGGAATACCGGGTTTTCTAAAGTTGGGAAGTTACAATGACTCTCCAATGCCAAATTGAATGATCTTGCTATAACAAGATTTAATCATAAAATAGTTGATAATTTTCGCTCTTTAATACAATATTTATTATTATTTTTCCTTTAACTATGATAATGACAATTTTTCTTTTAAAGAAAATAGTGTCCAAACTCAAAAAAATTACATAGCAATCAATTTAGTCTCTACTATTTCAATACAATCAGCTAACAAAAGAAAATAAATTTGAGGAGGAACTTACTCATAAAATGTCAAATTAGGATCTAGATTACACTCCATGTTGTCAAGTGTATTTGAACAAGTATTCAACTTGCAATAAATATGACAAACACGTCCTTCTCAATCTTGATTGAGCAATTTTTGAATTTGTTGTACCAATTGCATTCTAATTATACTATTCTGTCCAGAATTGATAATATTTTAATCAAAAGTTGTTTTGCTAATCATAATACTTCTAGCACACCATAAAGGTCAGCAATACATACACTACAAGAATCCAAATATCTTGTGAAATCTCCAAATCATTCACCCGTACAATCTTTTAAAAGACCACCACATCTAGTTATCAAGTCATTTGTACTAACTCGATTCATGTTCTATTGCACCCACTTCGAAGGAGGAGGAGACCACCTTATTTGCTTAGCCTCTCGAGACAAATCCATCTTACTCCCATGAAGTTCTCTGTTGCCAAAAAATATTCATTAGCAACTTTAGTAACACGTCCCCATAAAATTCTAGGTCTCACAAAATTCTCATCATGTTATTTTTTATTCACCCACATTCAAAGTGCATGACAAAATGTTACCCAAAGTTTCGGCCACTGTGGGTCACCACTAATACCAAAATTCAAATGCAAATTAGTAATTACGACTTCTTAATATTACTAGTGAAAAAAAGAGTTTTTCATATCCAACTTAACCACATTAGTCCAAATAGAAAAAGGCAAAGGATAGTCACGTAAGACATGTATAAGAGATTCCACTTCTATTTCACAATAACTACAAATCACGTAAGACATATATAAGAGATTTCACTTCTATTTCACAATAACTACAAATCGATAATTTAAATTACCACCCCTGTGTTATAGCATACACCTCAAAATATGTCTGCTTTTACTGTTAAATGTAACACCTCAATTTTACTAATTATTTATTTATTAAATTAATTGATTAATTGTGTAATTTTGTGCCTATTTGATTTAATGGATTTAATTGAATTATGTGATTTATTTGAATTATTTGATTTAAATGACTTATTTGATTTATTAAATTTATATGAATTATTGGATTTATACAAATTATTGGGTTTATATAAATTAATTGACTTATTTAATTTATATGAGTTAATTGATTTAACTGATTTAATCTAAATATGTGATTTATTGAATTAATTAAATTAATTGATTTATTCTATTTGGTAGAATAATGTAGAATTGTTAGATTGTTTAGTTGTACTTAATTAAGTGTGTGAATAGTAAGTGGGAGTGGGTTGAGTTAAACCCAATTGATTAAGACAATGTTAGGGTTTGACAAAAGAATAGAAAGAGAGAGAAAGTTAGTAAAGAGGGAAAGAAGAGTGGAGAAGAAGAGAAGAACCAAGAGAGAGCTCAAGAATCATCAAAAGTCAAGGTAAGGGTGAGTCTTTACATGGTTATAGAATTGTATGATAGTGTATGATGGGTAGTATCACATTTAGGATAAAAATCCCTAATTTCCATGATTTTGAAATTGATGATTACATGATGTACGATGGTAGGATCCTTAAGTATGTGTTCTAGGCTGCTATAATTGTTATATAATGGTAGTATTTCGAATTTTAGAACTGAAACTTTTTACGGAATCGAATTCGGAGGTCCGGAAGGCCTCCAAACTGCAAAAATCGCACTTTTCTAGTTTGCTGTCTGGGAGAGTTCGCATAGCGAACGTCGCGTAGCAAATCAGTAGCGAAAGTCTATGGTTTATGTAATGAGTCGCGATGTGAGTTGTATTTCGCATAGCGAACGTTGCGATGCGAGCTGTATTTCGCATAGCGAAAGTCGCGATGCGAGCAGTAGCGAACCTGTAGTGAGGGATGGGAGAATGGACGTAACTTTGGATACGTAAGTCCGTTTTGGTCCCTGTTTAAAGGGTTGAAAAGCTAATGAATAAAGCTATATCATAGTATAGATAATAGAATTTATTGCCCAATATTTTTATATCTAATATGTTTGGGAATTCAATTGTGTATATGTTCTATTAATGAATTGTTGCACTGCTTGCTGCCGGTTGTGAAATTATTGTGGATAATTTATCGAATACTTGTGTGTTTGCTTGTATAAGTATATTTTGGGTGTGAAAATATGAAATGCATAATAGTTATTGCTCGTTGTAATTATAATACATTTGTGATTCTAGTGTGAAATGTGTTGAATACCATTTGAAAGTGAATTGTGTGTGTGGATGATTCATAAAAATGTGCAAGTATGTGTAATTGTGTGGTAATTCAAGTGTGATGAATTATTGAAGATATGCATGAATGTTAAGATTAGGGAATGATCTTAATTGCATATGGTTGTTGAACTTGCACACGCATCATTTGTGTTAAGAGGCAATGCTTGTTAGTTCTGTGGGAGCTAGTGACTTGTCCCAAACCTAGAGCGAGGTTTGAAAGCTTAGGGAATGGGATTTTGTATGTTATTGGTCTAAGGAACGGACCCGGTTTAAATGTAAAAACCAAAAAATAATAAGTGTTGGTACCACATGACATGAGTTGCATTGAGTTTTGCATTGAGTCTCATTGTCTATGTTTGTGATATGAGATTATGTGTATCTATGTGAGTTGTTGAATTAGTGAAATTGTGGATTGTATGGATATACTTGTGAATGATATGGTTACTTGAGTGATACTTTGTTGATGAAAATTTTTAAGTGTGATAATAATTGTGATTATGCTTGTATGCCTTAGATTATATATTATCTTATGATTTCGATAATTATGTGAATTCTCACCTTTCTGTTGGAATAATGTTTTGTATGACATCGCTCAGGTACCGAAGAGTAGAGTTGCTTCTAGAGCGAGGTATCCTTTGGAGTAGCTTGTTTAGTTCTTTATTTATTTTGGGTTGAGTCGTGTTTTGATCATGTAACACTGAGATATTTAGGTTTATGTTTGACAGATACATTAGGTACTCTAATTTATATTTTTATGTTTATTTGAATTATGTAGAGTATAAGCTTTATTCCTAAGTATTGATTATGAATGAGATGAGTATGAGACTTTCATTATGTTAATTTATGATTGAAGTAATTTCGCTGCTACCTGCTATGTGAACGTATATGAAAAACATGAATTTATTTTAAGTGTTATTAAGTATGACAAGTATATGTGTGATGTTTTGAATTATATGTGACACCTTTATTTGAGATGCATGATAATTTACTCTGATTATTTATATATATTTCACGGAGTTTAGAAGGGTGTTACATTAGTGGTATCAGAGCAGGTCGACTCATCCGGCTAGGTTGTCTAATGTTGTTTGTTCCCTAGTATGTGACATGTGTGTGAAAACACTGGTCGTACACGTTTGTTTTTCTAACCTTTGTCTGCAGGAGTAAGATTGAAACAAGTGGGTGAGAAGCTTGTGCTTCTCCAAGATGCTTCAAATGTTGAATGGTGGCTCAGTGTGTCGTTGAACGCTATTATAGTTTGGTAAAGATGGTTTATGCCCAATCATGATTGTCGGTTGTCTATTGAAAAATTAAGGAACTGATCACCCTTAATCTCTTGTTGATAGTAGATGGGATCATGTTAGATGGAATAGACGTGTCTTGCAAGCTTAGATGGTGTGTGCAGTGAATTGTTTGGAGTTAAGCCAAGTGCTTACAGATTGTTTTGACGAGTCAGAGCAGAATGGTGCTGAGATGTTTATGTTGATGGCAACTTTGAATTTTTTAATTGTTGTGATTTTTCAGAAGTTTTTTTTCCTTATGAGATAAGTGATTTACCGCCGGAACGCGAGGTGGAGTTTACGATCGACTTAGCTCCTGGAACTAGTTCGATATCAATGGCTCCATATTGTATGTCAGCATCAAAATTGAAAGATTTGAAGAGTCAACTTGAAGATCTGCTTGACAAGAGATTCATTCGTCCGAGTGTGTCACCGTGGGGTGCACCAGTTTTGTTGGTTAATAAGAAAGAAGGTTCTATGAGGCTTTGTGTGGATCATAGACAATTGAACAAGGTGAATATCAAGAATAAATATCCACTTTCGAGGATTGATGAT